GGATAGCATACCGGTTCTTGCTGAGCTAGGTGTTGCTGCACCCTCCTCCTGCCCTGGGGGCTTAGTCATCTCTTTTATAAGTAGTCTCCAAAAACTGCAGCCGCGATACCCAGCTTCATTGTTGTTGGCAGCCCTGAGCGCCAAGCACCAGGGAGCCAGCCACTGGGAACACGCTAGGAGGGTGAGAGCAAGCCAAGTCATCAGGGCTGTATACATTTACGAGAGAGGGGCTGAGTGAGCTCCCCAGGAGATCTGCAACACCCCACCCCTCCACCCCCACCCCTTTTCTGGAAGCAGAAAGCAGGCCTCTTCCTTTCTTGTTCCTCACCTGTTGTGTCCTGTGGCCAAAAGTACATTCGCTGGCTTTCCATGCTTCTAAAATAAATCCATTTCGGGACCACACCCTCCCAAGCTACCCCAGGTTTGCTCCCTGGGAGCGTTCATTCCCTCGCCATCCCATCAGGCTGGGAATGCTGGGGTTCCGCTCCACAAAAATGTTAACCCTTTGGCTCCTTTCAGAAGAGCGGTCTGACTTTGCCTCATGCTTGCTCCTCACCAATTCTCACTCTGCTGTCCATCCCACAGGACGGCCCTGGGCCGAGCAGTTTTGCGGGGAGCTATCGGAACCTTTACCGACTTTGCACGCCACTTCTCTTTCTCTTTTATATCAACCTTCCCCGAGATTTGAGATGCCCCTGTCCCCTTCCGTCCCAAAGTTTCCCTCACCACCTCTCCGAGATTTCAAGCTTTCCCCTTGGTCTGTTTCGTGGTGGGAATTCCTGCCCCCTGTGAGCCGGCGCCCCTCCTCGAGGGCTCTGAGATCCAGCCTTCTGCCCAGTGTTGTGTTGTTTTCCCTGTCGCCATGGCAGGGATTAAGCCGGGAGCCAGGGAAGGAGGGCGGAGGGAAGAAAGTGAGCAGGAAAAGCAGCGCTGCCAGGATGGGAGAGCCTGATTGGAGCAGGAGACCGAGCGAAACGAGGGATTCCTGTTTTGTTTGGGTCTATTTTGGTTATGGTGGGTTTTTTTTTGTTTGTGTTTTTTTTTAGTTTGGGTTTGTTTCCAGAGGCGAGGAGACAGGCATGTAAGCGCTGAATCTGGCACTTACTGCCGAGTCACAGCCAAAGAGATCCTCTCCCATCGTCAGTAATGAATGCAGAGGCAATCTCCAGACCTCAGACCTAATAGGAACAACTCTCAAAATAGCTTCAGTTCTCCTCAACTCACTTATGGTCTGGCCTGCCGGTAAATATGACAATGTGACCCAATGCCTCTCTGACCTTTGGCCAACCATGCCCTGGCCTCCCTGTGTCTTTGGGGTGAGAAGTCCTCAGGACTGAGGGAGATGCTCAGTCAGAGCCCATGGCCATCCCCACACCTGCCCCCATTTAGACCTTGCTCCTAGTACCAAACACCCCGGAATCTCTGCCCAAATGGCCAAAACCTACTTCCAGGGCCTATGTGGGCCTGTTCATGTGGTCCACCCCATCCAGGGTGGCTCGTGCAGCCCGTGGCCAAGCGGTGGCTGCTTGGAGCTCGGGCAGTGGACAGAACCTGGAGGTGTAGGAACATGCAGGTGAGTGGGAACAGGGTGCCAGGCCCCGACCTGGGACCACCTGTCCCTGTGCTGTCACATTCTGGCCCGAGGAGTCTGAGACTCTCAAGTCACGTGTGGCCTTTCAGACTGTTATGAAGGTACATTTGTGAGGGCAGGAGGCTAAGACGTGTTTTATTTTTAGCAACTTGTTGGCTTGACTAACAGCTTTTAAATATTTAGATGCATAGGAAGGTGGGTCTTTATTTGACTCCAGCCCTGTTCCTACAAACCTGTGATGAGACTAAGGTTTGCCTGGCTCCGATGGTCTCCAAATCTTTTCTTTGTTAGGTCGGGCTTTTCCAATGCTCTTGTTTCTGAAGATTCTACTGATAGGGAGAGATTTAATGGTTTTTTTTTTTGTTTGTTTTGTTTTTGTTTTAATATTTGATGTCTCATCACAGGGATTTAAGCCATCTGTTGGCTGAAGCTATGGTATTTCGGGAGGATACAAGCAGCCACAATTAAGTAGGAATTTAATTAAATTTAACATAAAGTTAAATTAGACGTATATGCAAAGGGCAGTAGCACTTCACTTATCCAGAGGCGAGCTGCACAGCAGCCTCGGTTATTTAGAACAAGGTCAGGAACCAGAAAGGAGCAAAAATAAACCCAAACCAAAAACAAATGAGGAAACAAACAACCATCTCAAAACAAAACAAGTCTGTTCACAGCCAAGGTGTGCCACAGAATTCATTCCTTACACTTGATGTTTACTGATAGGCAAGTGCCACCTTAGGACCTTTCCTCAGAGCCAATTAACTTTTTATTTATTTATTTGTTTGTTTATTTGTTTGTTTGTTTATTTGCTGGTGCAAAAGGAAAGAGGTTTATTCAGGTGCTGCATAACCTGGGAGAATGGTGGACTGAAAACTGTGGGCATCACCAAAAGTTAAGAAAAATTTAAAAGTGGGAAGTATCTAGTATTGGTGAACCTGTGGGGCAACGGGGATTTCCCCACTGCTGCTGGGAGAATAATCACACAGGCAGCACCTTGTACAGCTGAGCATGTGCAGAATCCTGGACCCAGCAGTTCTGCTTCTAAGGATATGTAGAGAGAGCCCTTCCTTGCACATGGTCATGGGAGACAGGGGCCTGAAAACTCATGGCAGCACTGTTTGTAATAATATTTAAATTCCTCAAACGTCCATCAGACAGTAGAACGAATAAATGCATGATGGTATACTGGAATTGGTTCCCGGTTTCTCATGGTGAAGAAGAAGACTTTAAATTAGCATATTGAGAGAATTGGCATCCATATTGGATTGCCACGTGTTTCCCTTCCCCCCACATCCTGCTTTGGGAGAAGATTTCAGTAACAGATCTGGCCGCATATCTTTTCTTTTTTTTTGTTTTTTTTGTTTTTTTTTTAATAAATATATATTTTATTGATTTTGTACAGAGAGGAAGGGAGAGAGATAGAGAGTTAGAAACATCGATGAGAGAGAGTCATCGATCAGCTGCCTCTTGCACACCCCCCACTGGGGATATGCCCGCAACCAAGGTACATGCCCTTGACCGGAATCGAACCCGGGACCTTTCAGTCCCCAAGCCGACGCTCTATCCATTGAGCCAAACCGGTTTCGGCCACATATCTTTTCATGTTCAATAGATAAAAGACAGATCTTAAATGTTTCCCTTTTTTGAATTCCAAAGTAATTACTAGCACTTAAGCTTATTTTTGCTTAAATTTGCATTTCCCAGCAAGTTCTTCTATAATTTTTTTTTCTTCTATAATTTTTAAACAAAACTTTAAGTAATCTCATTGCAGGAGAGCAGATTGCTCTGCCCTCTCCTGCCACCTTTGAATTTCTCTGCACTAAAGGCAATTTCAGCAGCTGGGTTTCATTTCTTATTACAGATTTTAGATTCCAAATACAAATTAAAATTTTAATTTGAACAAGAAACCATATTAAAGATGACCACAGAACTCTTTTTCCAGCCTGATTTTAAAAAGTACCTTTTGATATACTAATTTCTTTATAATTTTGCCTTTTGACCAAATTTCCCCCCATAATAATCTGATGTAAACACAAAGAATCACTCACGCACTTGCAGATCCAAGGGGTTCTGAAGCTGACATGGGCTCTACGCACAGTGAACTTGACCATCCGCTCAGGTGAATCCTTCTTTCTCCAGAAGCATTCCACTGATGGTGCTGTAAGGGTTCAGGTCCAGTCCCTGTTTGGGCACCATAATTGTTGGTGTCCCTCGTTAGGGGGTCATAATGGCAGGGTTCTTTTCCTAGCCTTACAAAGGGTTCAGTATTCTGGAGAAAGGGGCTCCGCATAGATTATTAAGAAGGAGTCCAAGTCGAAAGATATTTTTGAAAGGCATTGGGGATCAGAGGAGCTTCAGCTAAAGGAAACTGAAGACTCCCTCCTTGACTAGGACCTGTGCTTTTATTCTAACACAATTTGTCCCAAGGCAAGGTGGAAATATAAGCTTCAAAGGGTAAGGTATCAAAGGGTAGAGTACAGAAGCATTATCAGTTTGGGGAATAGCCTACAGCTGTTCAGGTGTTTGACCAACAGGAGGCAATAAAATGCCCTGAGCTGTCTGGCAGTTAACAATCCTATTCAGGTTTGGGGGAAGTGCCGTTCAGCTGTTTCCAACAGGTAAACTACACGTGAGGCTCACCCTTGTTGAGTCCCCCAAGTCCCATCAACCTTTTGATGGAACTCGTGTAATTATTACATGCTAGAATTGGTTCCCAGCAATGGTATATAGTCTACGATGGATATTATACAGCAGAGAACAGAACAAACTATTGCCACACAATGGCAGCATGGATGAACCTAAAAACCACAATATTCGCCAAAACCGGTTTGGCTCAGTGGTAGAGCGTCGGTCTGCGGACTGAAAGGTCCCAGGTTCGATTCCGGTCAAGAGCATGTACCTGGGTTGCGGGCACATCCCCAGTAGGGGGTGTGCAAGAGGCAGCTAGTCGATGTTTCTCTCTCATCGACATTTCTAGCTCTCTATCTCTCTCCCTTCCTCTCTGTAAAAAATCAATAAAAAAAACACACAAAAAACCACAATATTCAACAAAAGGAACTAGTCACAACAAAACACATAGTAGGATTCAATGTATTTAAAGTCCAGGAACAGGAAAAACTGATTATATTGTTTGGAGCTACAGTCAAATATAGTAAAACAATTAAGAAAAGCAAAGACAGGATTACCATATAAATTGGTGCATAGGTTACCTCTGGCAGGAAAGAGGGATTCTTATGGTACCATCGTAATATTTTTTCTCCTTATCTGGGTGATGGTTCTGTTGATATTTACTTGATTTATAGCCTTTTAAGCTGTGCATGGATGTTTTATTTATATACGTATTTCACCAACAATATTTTTAAAAGAAGGGAGAAAAAAAAGCAAGAGCCAGGTTTGGTCTAATTTACTCTGTTTAAGAAAGCAAGACAGTGTTTAATAACATTAATTTGAAACATTTCCACCAATAGCCATGAAAAGAAAAACAGTTTTGGGCACGTGGAGGGCTCACTTTCAGTGATCCGGAAAGTTTTCATTTGTATGTGACAGTTGCTCAGCTCTTTCTCAGCTACTACGGCAATGACCCGAGTCCAGTCGCTTTACAAATGAATTTCTGAATTGGTTGAGAAAGAGGAGCCTTAGGGGGAGTTCCTTGGAGGCACAGAGCATCTTGGCCAACCTTTTGACCTCCCTCCCTCTGGCTGCCTTCCCCTGGGCATCCGCTGGGAGCCCATTACAAATGCGGAATCTCAGGCCCCACCTCAGACCTACTGAGTCCGACTCTGCACAGTAGCAAGGTCCTCAGGGGCTCCCATGGTCCATAGAAGTGTGAGACTTACTGCTCAAGTCCAGACCAGGACCAGGACTAAATACTCAGCTCTTTGTCATTTCAGGGAAAAGCTGCCTTTGAACAGGCCCAAGGTGGACCCTCCTTGTACTGAACTTTATGCGGCAGTGGGTCGTGCTCAGAAAAACTCAAATTCACTCATTCATTCATTCATTCATTCAATATTCGGACTACTCACATTCTATGTTTGATATGGTCTAGCTCTTAATATTTATTGAGCTTTTATTACATGCCAGGCAAAATGCAAGATATAGGGCAAAACCAGCCTTGGCTGCTGCCCCATAGAGCACAAGTCTACCAGAAGAGATGGTCATATATTTTCAATTCACACAAATAGATATCAAATCACTACTGTGGTAATAGTGACAAGGTGGAAATCCCTGGTGCATGGACTGTCCTTGAGTTGACATATTTCAGGGTGGGTGTTGGTCAGAAGAGGCATCTCTGAGGAAGTGTGGCTGGAACTACATTTCCAAGGGTGAGGTTGAGAATTCCAGGCAGGTGCCAAGGTCTCCTGTAAAGGATTCCATGGAAGGTGGAGACCTCCCAGACTGCAGGGCCCAGCCGGCCAGGTCTAGAGTCTCTCCTCTCCCCAATGACCTTGCCTGCAGGGCAGCTGAGCTTGCTCAAAGCAGCTCCCCAGTTTTCTACTCCCCCAATAGCTCTGTGTTCAAAAAGGCTGTCCATGCCAAAACTGGTTTGGTTCAGTGGATAGAGAGTCGGCCTGTGGACTGAAAGGTCCCGGGTTCGATTCCGGGCAAGGGCATGTACCTTGGTTGCGGGCACATCCCCAGTGGGAGGTGTGCAGGAGGCAGCTGATCTATGTTTCTGTCTCATCGATGTTTCTAACTCTCTATCCCTCTTCCTTCCTCTCTGTAAAAAAAAAAATTAATAAAAAATATATAAACAAACAAACAATAACAACAACAACAAAAAAACAAGGAGACCTCACAGTTGGTTCTGCTCCTTTCTCTTCTTCTTCCTGCCTGGAATTGAGCTGTGATGCTTGCAGCTGCAGTAGCCACATTTTTGTTTGTTTGTTTGTTGTTGTTGTTTTTGTTTTTTTAGGGCCACCAAAAATTTTGGTTGTCTCCTCCCCCCCAAAATTGGGAGAGAGATAGTAGCCATGTTTTAACCATGAAAGACCAACAGAATCAAGGAGACAATAGTCCTCCCATTGCTGAGCCACAGAACTAGAGTCAATGGCTTCTTATCTCTTATCCTTCTCAGTTGAGGAAACGAAAGCCTGTTTAGTTCATTGGTAGATGGTTTTCTATTACTTGTAGTAGATGGCATGCCAGCAGGGGTGTAGGGTGAAGGGGAAAATAGTGGGGAGAGACGTTTTGCCAAAGAAGGAAGTTAACATTTGTTGAGCACCTACATGTTCCTGGTTGTTGCTTTATATTCATGACATTTAACTCACAATCTATCCAAGTAGAGTTATTCGGTCTTTATACAGACTTTAAGCATTATGACCCCATATTACAGACATGGAAACTGAGGCTTCGGAGGTGCTCAATATTCAAGGTCAAGCAGGAAGGACTCAAACCCAAATCTGGTGGACTTTAAGGTTGAATTATAGTTTTGGGTGTTTCTCACCTGACCCCTCAAATATTTTCCTCCCAGCCCCCCAAACTCCCAAGGAGCCCAAATATTCCCTATTAAGAGATTTATTCTTTGAGACGGAAAGCATTTTGATTTTTAAGAGTCTCCATTAAAATACAAACGCCTCTGGGAAGTATTAATCCCCTAAACCTTATTTTATAGCCTAAGAGTAGGGGGTGTAGAGGGTGGGGTTAATGGAGCAGTCCTGTGGGAGGGCCAGAAGGAGGGCCTCAGGGCAGGGAGGAGAGGGGCAGATTGAAAGTATTTAATTGGCCCACTGCCTCTTTCCCTGGGGCCTTGATCAGTCCAAGGTTAGCTCCCTACCTGATTTCCCAGGGGCCTTAAGGCTGAGCATTTCCAGCAGCTACTCTGGGAGGGCAATTATCCTCAGAGCATCTTCATCCCCTACCCTCCTCCCAAATACAGACTCTTAAGGCTGCAGTGCTGAGTGGGGAGACGGAGAGGCAGGGCCACATGCTCTCTCTTAATCACCAGACACAACTTCTGAGGCTTAGAGAGCCCGGTCCTTCCAAGGCAGATCTGACCTGTGGTGTGTGCACATGTGGGGTGGTGGTGGGTGGGGAGAGGGTTCAAGTCCTTGGCCCTGGGTTGTCAGGGCAACCCCTCCTTGAGCCAATCTCATGGTGATCTGGGTGTTTCTGAAGGCAGGCTGATAACTTCCTGGCTGACAGCCTCCATTTAAGCTGAGCTCGGAGACCCTCTAGAATTAGGGGCCGTTGCATTTCTGGCTTTGACACCTTAGGCTTCCTGCACTCAACCTCAAGAATCAATATTTTTATTTCTGTCTCAGGGCGGAAGTCTCTTTGCTGACCTGCAGGAATGAATCGGCCCCTTGACGCTCTGAGTCGGGGCCTGAAGGCAGGTGACAGATATCCCCTGAATGTAGAAGGAGTATTCCATGGGCTGCCCTTCACCGTCTCCCTTCCCCCCACTTCGGTCCTGGATCCGCATTGACTGCTCTCGTTCCTGTATGTTTCCCAGGACGGGGGATGCAGGTTTTGGGACAGGGACTGAGGAGTAGGTCATCAGCATGCCAGCTGTTGTGATAAGCATGTTCCACGCCTCATTTTCCCTCTGTGCAGCCACATCAGGCACAGAGCAGGGCTCTGAGAGCCTGGGAGGGTCAGTGGCTTGCCCAGGGTCACGGAGCCGGCTGTGGCAGAACTGGGTTTGAGCCCAGTTATCTGAGTGTGGGGCTGGCACCGCTAGCGCTCTGCCTCTCGGCCTGGGTCCTGTGAGCAGACAGCGGGGAAGCAGGGTACAGGATGAGTTGTAGAAACGTAGCTGAAAGATGAAACAGAGGGGCCGGAGTCAGGGATGCCAGAACACAGGCTTTATTGGAGGAGAATACCGCTGCCGGCTGCCTTCCAGAGGGGAAAGAGCAGGAGGGCCGGGGTGCAGGCACCTTAAGGGGAGGAAAGAGAAAGGACGGGGCTTAGGCCAATCAGCACACGTTGATTGGTGATTTCATGTAAGGCAGATGATTGGGGACCCAGGGATTTAGGAACTGGGGGCTTAGGTATTTGGCAGGTGCTGGTTGGTGGTTCAATGTACAGTCCATATAAGGTGCCTGGTTAGGTGCTCAGGAATGTCCAGCTGCAGTGGAGTTTACGTCTTTTCCGTCCATCAGTTGGAGGAAGGGAGGATCTATCAGTAGCCAGAGGACATACAGCCAGGAGAGAGGCCTCCAACCCTACCATACTGAGTGGCATGCTTTGAGCAAGAAGCACACTTGTCAGGATTTAATTATCTGGAATAAATATCAGCCTCCCCCTAAAAAGTTCAAATTTGGCTTAGAATAGCAACACAGTGATTTCCGGTCTTTTTGGATTTGCAATTCTCTGTTTTTGGTGGTGGCTGTTTCTTTTGTCTTTGTAAATATCCCTTTTGTAAAAGGATATGTATCTGTGATATGAAATTCAACTAAAACATGTTTGCTTTGAAGTCTTCATGGAGACCCCTTAAAGGTAACCGGAGATGCCTAAGGATGTTACCTGAAATCAGTGGAGCAGGTTACCAGATGCGTCCACTGTGAACACAGGTCCAGCTGAACACTGGAGTTGTGTGCACTCTTGTGTTTGCATGTCGCTGTTCAACAAAAATCCCCTGAAGTATTAGAAAAGTAAAGGAGTGAGCGCTGTCTGAGCAGTGTGCATGTGAGAACGAGGGTTCGTGGTCCCCGTGTTTGTTTTTTGGTGGAGCTGATGGGCTCTAGTTCGCGTCCTCACAGATAGCTCTCGTACCCCTGTGAGCAGCTTTCTCATGGCAGCTTCTGGGGGTCTTGTGTATGTGCCCTTTAGCTTTCAGAGGCTCACCATGTAGGGGTCGCACAAGTGGAGTGTGAAGACCTCAGTGTCTGTGGGCACGCTCACCTGTGAGGGAGAGAGGCTGGCCGACAATTCTGTTTTGTTTTTGTTTGTTTGTTTTTTAATTTACACGCAGCTCCAACACGTGCTAGCTGTGTGACCCTGGGTGAGTCCCTTAATCCTTCTGATCCATGGTTTCCTCATTCACAGGCAGGGAATGCTAATACGGTCCTTGTCATAGATTTGCATAAGGAAGGATTACATAGGATAATGGGTGAATGGCTTCTCCCAGGATTTAGTACACAGTAAACAGCAATGCAATGTATGGAATCAGAATGTCTGGGGATGGGGCTTAGGCATCCAATTTAAAAAATATATATATTTTTTATTGATTTCAGAGAGGAAGGAAGAGGGAGAGAAAGATAGAGACGTCCATGATGAGAGAGAATCATTGGTTGGCTACCTTCTGCAAATCCCTAACGGGATCGAGCCCACAACCCCAGCATGTGCCCTTGACCAGAATCGAACCTGGGATCTTTCAGTTCGCAGGCTGATGCTCTATCCACTGAGCCAAACCGGCTAAGGCTAGGCATCCAATTTTTAACAAGCTCCATAGGGGATGATGACAAGGTTAAGAATTACACCCTGATCTGGCCTCTGCCCCCACTATTGCACCATAGAATATCTAGAATGTTCTTCTCTCCCTCCCTCACAGATTAGAGAAGTCAGAGGGGCCTCCCTTTGGAAAGGGTGCCTGGAGGCTAGAGGACAGTCATTCCTCCCTCCCTCCCTCTTTCCTTCCCTCCCACACGCATTTGCTAAATGTGTGCCAGG